GAAGCTGCATTAAACACCTTACAAATATAGATTTATTTCGTCTTCAAGCCACTGTTCCACTACTAAACTGTCTATTCTACTTACTAGTAGACTTGGTACAATCAAAAATCTGGTAGTAAATTGTTCAAATAAGACCTTTGGAAATAGTGGAATTAATTACTTTTGGAGTGTCAAAAATTCGTTGGTAGTACTTAATAAATTGCATGCTTATATTGGTGATTTCGAATCTGTTCAAAGTTTTGATTTTTCTACCCTATATACCACTTTGCCTCATAATCTCATTAAGAAAAACTTCACACATCTAATTAAATGGGCATTTATAAAGTCAGAATGCGAATATATATGTTCAAACTCTTTTAGGTCATTTTTAAAGTCAGAATGCGAATATATATGCTCAAACTCTTTTAAATCATTTAAGTAACAACAAACAAAAGAACTATGTCAATTTGACCTGCTTTGATACGATAACTGCACTTGAATTTTTACTAGAAAACATTTTTGTTCGCTATGGAGATTCCGTATATCGTCAAGTTATCTGAATTCCAATGGAGACTAACTGTGCACCACCTATATGCGGACCTGTTTCTGTATTGTTATGAGTTACAATTTATGACTAAAATAAGCAAAGACCCATCGAAACAACCATGTGACAACATCTGGTACCAAAATTTAATAACACTTTTAGATATTTGGATGATATATGGGCTCTCAATAATGACGACTTCAGTATGTACACTAAAGAGATTTATCCTGCTGAACTGACTTCAAATAAAGCTAATACTAACAATGAACACTGCCCTTTCCTGGATCTTGATATATATATCTTTAACGGGAAGCTTAATACCAAAATTTACGATAAAAGAGATGATTTTTCATTTCCTATTGTTAACTATCCATTTTTAGATGTTGACGTCACCATCTTATGGTGTTTATATATCTCAACTTGTTCAATTCGCTCGTGTATGTACCAACGTATTTGATTTAACGAAAGAAATCTCTGTCTTACTGAAAAATTATTGCACCAGGGTTTTCGATATCACAAACTAGTCAAAAAATTTACTAAATTTTATCATCGGTACAAGGACATCATTCGTAAATATAAATCAACATGCAGACATCTTATACGTTCAGGTATTTCACATCCAATCTTTTATGGTAATATTCTATACAAAGCACAAAAATGTCGTCATTCACCTCAAAAGCTATAACCAAACCTTTAAACAGACTTATTCAGAAGGGATATAGTTACGATACTGTTGTCAGGTCATTAAAGATGGCATATTTTGGTATTAATATTGATTCACTCATAGGGTCTTTGCATCGGAAATAAACACATTTATTCTAAAACCAGTTGTTGGCATGATACGGGTTATGTTCTTCTCGTATATTTTATGATGGTATGATACTAAACCCCTATCGGGAGGGATTGTGCTTGATTTTCATATGATGAAGACATAATCTTTCAATCAGTTAATTGAGGTCTGGAGCTGGCATGTCAGTAACTGCTAGTAGTCCTTTGTTAATTTATGTATCATTGTCATTTTGCTAAGTTTCTTCTGTTACATATTCTGACATCGGACTCGGACTTCATTTAAACTGAGTTTAACTGTGCGTATTGCTGTGTGTTTGTTTATTATACATTGGCTAGAGGTATATATATAGGGGAGGGTTGAGATCTCACATGCAAAACATGTGTGAGCCAAGGCTCCGTGTTGAAGACCGTACTGTGACCTATAATGGTTTACTTTTATAAATTTTGACTTGGATGGAGAGTTGTCTCATTGGCACTCATACCACATCTTCTTATATCTATTAACCCCGCCGCATTTTTGCGCCTGTCTCAAGTCAGGAGCCTCTGGCCTTTGTTAGTATTGTATGTTTTTTTTTATTTTAGTTCATCCATATGTTTCTGAGTTTAGTGTGACGTCCATTTTCACTGAACTAGTACACATTTTTGTTTAGGGGCCAGATGAAGCCCGCTTCCGGGTGCGGGATTTTTTCGCTGTGTTGAAGACCCATTGGTGGCCTTGGGCTGTTTTCTGCTCTTTGGTCGGGTTGTTGTCTCTTTGACACATTCCCCATTTCCATTCTCAATTTTATAGGGGATGTAACTTTAGTGTCTCAAACTGAAGGGAGTTACAAAACTGTTTATCCTTATTGAATCTTTATTGTAAAACATGAAAACTAACATTGTATATCAAGAGGAAAAAACAAATAATACCATTCAATTAACATGATTAAACTGGTAAATTCCAACTGAAAAATGTTATAATTTTTATTATGGTAAGCAAAAATACAAACACATACAAAAAGCTTTATCTAAAGTCATGTTTATAACATAACCAATGCAAGCTCTACTGAGCTTTTAAAAACGACAAGCATAAACCATAGGTTATACAGATTCGGATCCGTGATTTGGAAAAGGAGGGGGGGGGCAAAACTAGGCAAAACATTGGGAGTCGGGAACATGTTGAAAAGTCTATGCATTAACCATATATTTAGTTTCATAACTCGGGGGCCCCTACCTACTTGAAATCCGCATATGTTTTAGACATAGATAAGACATTACATACAAACAAAGTATAATACATAAACATGCACAATGATGATCAAATACTATTTATCAAAGTTACATAGATAAGTACTCATTTGCAGCACTGTTAAAAGCACAACTTTTGTTGATTTTTTTTTAATATTGTTTGTTTCTCTGTAAACTTGTACTAAGTTTTTAGAGAATAACGTAAATAAAGTAACTTAGGTAACAGCATAAAGCACGTCATAAATAGTATAAATAAAATAGCTGCTAGTAGCATTCATTGCAATGACATGTTCCATGTGTTTATATAAAGACTAATAGTGAACCAGCAGCGGTATCGACCCAATCGCTTTATACGTTTCTAGGATATTTGAAAGAGGGGGCGTAGAATCAAAATTTTTTGGACCTATTTTTTTGCTAAAAAACATAAAATAATTGTGAAATGCACTAATGTAACGGTTCCTGACTTGGAGCATGTATATTTTATAGTTAAAGTGTCAGGATTTGACATTTTTTATGCCGAATTCTCTCCATTAATTGTCTATGGTATATTAAAATGATTGGATGGATCTTAACAGCAGTAGACCAATAACGAGAAATTCCAAATTCTAGGGCATAAGGCTGCGGTTACTTAAAATTTTCAATAGTCCTAGGCCAGGATTTTAAGAACGGGAGGCGTAATTCCGGTTGATTAACATGTGGATATCAAATCTTTGGAAGAAGTCATAAATTCAGTTAAAAAAATAATATGAAATGGGCATGAAAAATGAAAAATAAATCTTTAACGATAGCTTTTTCTGAACTGTGACTTTTGATATATATAATATAATAATCAAGATCTATTTTGCTACATCTGTGGGATCTGTTTATTTGGCAATCGCCATGGCAGTCAGCAGTGTTTTAAGAACATCCGTTGTTCTATCTGCTAGTCAAATGCGTTTTGTTAAAATATACCTTTTCACTGTTTTGGTCTTTTGGAAAATGTTGTTTGGTATTTAGACCCCTCTCATCAAGAAATTTGTTTTGCATGCACACGTATAAAAATTGCGGTTTTTATCCAACGCAATTATAGGTTTGAACGTTTTTTTCAATTTAGACTTGTATTTATAATAACCCGTTCTAGATAGTCAAATCTGATCCCTTCCAAGGCAAGGCGAAAAAAAACATAACCCAATTCAGACAATTTAGCTGAAAATGCAACCCCGTTTGTCGGAACATACCTGGTATCATATATATATAGTGAAAAGGGGGGCGTACGCCCATTACGCCCTCACCTGGACCCGCCCCTGATTTTTATCTGCTTTCTACCTTAAAAAATTTGTAAGGGTTCCGTGGAACCCAGTGTCTCGCCTACTTTTTCTGTTAATCGCAGGCTCAACAAAAACGAGGAAGTAAATCAATAAAAACATTCCTCTTGATACTATCTTTTGATTGTAAGAAGCTCTGTCCAAGTTTGGTAAAATTCCAGGATAGTTTATGAATCTAATAAATGTTTATAAAAACTTTAACTGCAGACTGAATGTAATGTTAACTGGAAGAAAACAAAATTTCCTTCTAGATACTAGCATTTGATCATAAACAAGCTTCTGTCCAAGTTTGGTACAAATCCAAAATAGTATAAGAAAGTTATTAAAATTTTAAAAACTTTAACCACAGAGTGAATATGTTGTTTCCTGGCAGAAAATCTAAGTCCATTTAAAAGTAAAATACGAAAAAAATGGATTTATTTTTTTACAAAATTTCCTTCTAGATACTAGCTTTGATCATAAACAAGCTTCTGTCCAAGTTTGGTACAAATCCAAAATAGTATAAGAAAGTTATTAAAATTTTAAAAACTTTAACCACAGAGTGAATGTGTTGTTTCCTGGCAGAAAATCTAAGTCCATTTAAAAGTAAAATAAGGATTTACTTTTTTATAAAATTTACTTCTAGATACCAGAGACATATATTACATGTAATATATGTCTCTGTAGATACTATCTAATGATCATAAACAAGCTTCTGTCCAAGTTTGGTACAAACCCAGGATAGTTTAAGAAAGTTATTAAAATTTTAAAAACTTTAACCACAGAGTGAATGTAATATTTACCGGCAGAAAAACTAAGTCCATTTATAAGTAAAATACGGAAAAAATGGAATTTTATTTTTACAAAATTTACTTCTGGATACTATCTTATGATCATAAACAAGCTTCTGTCCAAGTTTGGTAGAAATCCAGGATAGTTTAAGAAAGTTATTAAAATTTCAAAAACTTTAACCACAGAGTGAATATTTGTGGACGCCGCCGACGACAACGACGACGACGACGACGCCGACGCCGACGGAATGTAGGATCGCTATGTCTCGCTTTTTCGACTAAAGTCGAAGGCTCGACAAAAACCAGACAAGATCAGACAAGTTTTTCTGAAAGCTTACATTTTCTTGCGGGATTTGAATGCTAATCGTTGGTTTCTCTCCCTTTTCATTTTATGACCCCAATAAGAAATGGACGAAAACGAAAGAAGGAATAAAATTTAGCATTATAATGCATTACTGTAAATAAAACATTTCAACTCTATCATTAAATTGATAATGTAGGTAAGTATCTGATGAAATTGCACAATGTACCGCTGATGTAGGGAAAGATCTTGTGCTCCACTATGGTTTTTGCCACTCTACGACTACTAATCTACTTTCACTTCTTCTTTTCCTATAAAAGGGATCCATTTACATGATTTAGGATATTATATAAATTCTAGTGCAAAAAATATTCATTTTTTTTATTTTACTAAAATGTTGAAAAGTGCATTTGTTTGGGTCAATCTGGGACATAATATATTGTAAGTATGCTAGACCCAGGCCCAGGGTCAATAGTAGCAACTGGGATGTTTATTGAAATCGATAAAGTTTGAACAGTTTACAGAAGTAACCGTTTGATAGCAACCTTATATTACGATTTGGTTATAGATTAAACATAGAAAGAACAAGGTATTTGGAGGGTAAATTTTAGTTCGGGTCAAATGTTAAGGGGTGTTGGAAGAGAATTTTTTTTAGATCAATATTAACAATGAGGAAAGTAAGGAACTTTCACACACTCACCCCTTCTGCAATAATGTTTTGAATCATAGAATATATAAGCTGACGAGTATTCTGGTTTAGCATGTTTAGTGTCATTCGTCTCTTAAAAGTCTACAAACTATATACAAAGATGATGGCTATGATTTGACGGTACATGATTGTTAGAAATTGTTTTCACTAATATGGAATTGCATTCTAGTATAACAAAGGACAAGGTTGGTGTCTGTTCGTAAAGATTTGAACAAGATCTAGCTTTTCAAGTATTAATTGTACCATATATATAAGACAAGTCATACTTTATAGGGTACCAAATTGTGCCATTTGGATAAGTCGTAGCTTGTAGGGTACTAAAAAGTTGTACCATTAGGACAAGTCGTAGCTTGTAGGGTACCAAATTGTACCATTAGAACAAGTCATAGCTTGTACATGTTGTATGGTACCAAGTTGTACCATTAGAAAAAGTTTGTTCCTGACCAAGGACAAAATTGCATCAGTGTATATAAATGTATAGTAGATGGTTTTATAGATAATTTAGCTGTTAAAGCAAGAGCAATTGAACATATTTTAGCTCATCAGTCAGGGGTACTACTTAAACAAGTGATTTCAGAATCACTTCCTCAAGTGATTTTGGCTGTGAAATATTAAAAATTTTCACACAGACTTTTTAAAATCACTGAAACAAGTAATTTTAGAAGTTAAAATGTAATCACTTTAATAAGTGTTTATAACATTTTGATTTTTTTATTGGTAAAAAGACAACAATTACATTGAAAAAACAACTATGTACATGCAGAAATTGTCTTTTGCTTGATAAGCCCGACATTTTTACAGTTTTTTTAAAATATGCAAAAACTGGAATAGTTTGTAGATCAGGTCATAACCTTGAAGTAGATCATTCTAACTCTAAAGAAAACCAATCAGGTTACCTGATATTGTTGATCTTTGTCTGATAGTAAGAGTAGTTAATGAATTTTTGATTACAGAAAAATTCCCAAGGGTACTTTTAAAAGCTTTAGCGCACTAACTTACTGCCCAAGCGCACTGGTGAAATTAATATACAAAGAAAAAGGGATAATTGATTTATGTAGGAAAATTATAGAAAAGATTGTGAAAATATGGAAAATCAATGAAATTAGCATTTGAAGATCAAAGAAACACTAAAATCACTTAAATAGGTGATAACTGAATTTATCAAATCACTGAAATAAGTGATGATGAAATCACTTGTTTAAGTAGCACCCCTGACTGCTCATTGACATAATTCGATGGATATTGATCATGTTGATTATTTAGTGAATAATTCATATACTTCATATACTTTGTAAATAGAACATTTTGGATCCAGTATGAAACTGGTAACAAACCTATTCTAGAAAATAGACAGGATTACCCAGTGTACACGTTGCACAACTTTTGGTTAGTGACTTTTCCAGAAAATGATTATGTTGCTAGATTTATCCCTCTGACAATGTCTGAAAAAACAGCATCTTCCAAGGGACAAAACTCCCAAACAATAAGGTATTGAGAAAAGTTGTAAATCAAAACATTTGCAAAAGTTTTTGCCTTTTATGTACCGGTAATCATAATTTGCACTTTGCAGTATTTTCCCTTAATCTCCCAAATTTTATCCCATTTTGGGTCTTATACATGTATCCCAAACAGGTTATTATAACCTATATAAACTATGACATTAAACTAAAAGTTCAACCGTTGGTTAAGGCGAAATTTTTATCATTTAGTGGATAGATTCATAAGTGGGTAACTGACCAGTCCATCAAACAATAAAATGTCACCTTAAAACTGCCACACTAGCATGACTAGTTGTAGTGACCTGGTGTCTATTATAAATTAGTAGAAGGATTTATCATGTTTATAGTGCTAGTCTACCTAGCTGGCATCTGATGTAAAGACTTCTATAATATTTCTCCACATTTCTTTTTAACGATTTGACAAAAGTCCATGCTTGTAATGCATTTTGTATATGAAATTGGCAACTGATATATATGTGATATATTTTGATTTCTAATTTTAAAAGTTGGCTTTTTGTAGGTAGAACATGTATGCAACGTTTCCTTAAATATAACTTTTTTCACTGGACACTTCATCTGTTGATATATAACTGTCACAAAAAATGCTACAGACAAATGACATAGATTGAACAATGGTGCATAGGAAACAATGAAATCAGAAGGTAACAATCTGTACAAAATCAAGACTACTGTGAGAAGGATAGAGTTGGATATACAGAATGCAATATGTGATGAAGAAGATGTTACACGGAATGCTATATATGAAAAATTGGAAGCAGAGATATCTAATGATGGAGATGATTGTAATGATGGGCCCCCACCTAAAATCTCAGATTTCTTAAAATTAATCAATGATCCACTTTGGTATGAATAAGTAATAGAATTTAGTAATTGTATTTTTCCACTCATTTTCCTTGTGTAATGCCATTTAAAAAAAACCAATTTAAGTTAAAAAGGGTAATGTGAAGTTTAATCTATAATTTTTTTCAATAGCATTGTAAAGGATTTAAGAAACAGGTTCACTGAAATTTTTTAGCAGCTTTAAGAGCATGAAGAGTAAAATAGTTTACATGTATACTAATTTATAATATATATAAAACATTTGAGTTGTTCTTGTTCTAATTACCAGCTGACAGTGGACTCCCCTATATTGCATACATGTATACCTGATATTCATAAGAAAATTACAAATCCTTTTCAAAAGCTATTCCCCCTAAAATACTTTTATCTCCATGTTTTTATAAACATTAAAGATCCTTTAACACAAGACATAGGCAAAATCTCTTTGTGCTAACTGTGCTATAATCTGGATAATGCACAGCTTTAACTACCTCAGATATACTGCACACTTTAAATGCACTCTTGCCTTACAATAACAACATAAATAAACACTTTGTAGAAATACATCGTTTGAAATCTGAAATAAAATAAAGTTTGTCAAAGTGTTAGGGATGGTGAAAGGCTCCTTTCTAAAACTGAACTTTTTTTTATAATTTTTGTACAATGTTAATCCTAAATCAATCCCAAAAATAAGTAAAACTACATGTAACTAATTATATTTGTAATTTCTGATAAAATTGATAAAAGTAATAGAAACTGTAAAGAATAAAGATTTTATATTGACTAGTTTTTTTGCTGAACAGAATTTATCACGAATTTTTAAATGCAAATGACCTGTTAATTAGGGTTTATTTTGGTACTGATTCTAATGTGGATCATATTTAAAATATGTATCTAAACAGGAAAAAATAAATAAACTTATCTATCGACTTTCTTCAGATGCAGTATGATTTCAAATGTTACCAACGAATATAGTTGAAAAACAGGGGAAATAAATAATTAAAAATATTAAGTTTTTTTTCTGTTTTTCACTCAATATATTAAGCTCGAAATCGTCCCATATCCAAATATAAGTTGTGAATAAATTTATTAGAAAAAAACAAAAATCTACAATTAAAACTAAATTCTCAAATGACGTGACCATTACAGTAAGGAGAAAGCATGAAAATGAAAAAAAGTTTCTAATTTAAAAGTTACCAAACTTTTTCTACTTAAAGGCTTATTTTTCTTTCTAAATACAAGATAACTTCCCAAGGAGAAGTGGACTCACTCAGATGTTGTCAGCAAAAAATATTATGTAAATGCTTGAAAAAAAATCTCTCTAAAACGTTCATATAAATTGATGATGTCATGTGTTAAAAACAGTTATTGATAAATCAAATGGGTATACTAGTGTGTTTATGATACTGCACAACTGGGTGACCCGTTGTCCTGAACTAGGGTCACCTAGGCTGTGCAGTATAACTAACATATATACTAACTTGAAGGTTCAATAACTATTACTTATCAGTGACCTGGGTGACGGGATATGTGAGGTACAAAATTCATATATTTTTGTGGATAACAATTTTCATGAGGAAAAATTTTATTTCGTAGAGATTTTGTTAAGAGGTTTTGCTCAAGTCTCCATACAAGCCTATAGAAAATGTATTCTTCGTTGAACATATACCTAGGAAATCCACGAAAACTGGTATCTCACCTACAGTAATGAATTCACAGTACTACACAAACTGTCAAAGGTCTTTTGGTTGATTGATAAACATAGACATATTGAATGTGTTAATATTTATGTCTTTATATTACAGTAAAAAAATTGCAAAATCATATTCTACATGTGGAGATGAAATGTTTCAATGCTTTTCTAAACAGACCCTGGAAACTTTTCGTAACTTACGTGCAATTGGTGATGAATGGGATAGACGCTATGATTTTTTGGAATTTTTATTTATAAATGTAGCTGAGTCTGCAAAGTTCACAGATTTATTCAATATTGCATTAAGGTGAGCTAAAAATCTTATGTAGATAAATGATTCTCGCAAAGATTAATTTTTATTATACGCCCGTTTACGGGACGTATTATGGTATACCGTTGTCCGTCTATCTGCCGTCCGTCCGTCGTCAACATGTCAGACATTAACTCAAAAACGCTTTAACCAATTTGCATAAAACTTTGGTGAATTGTTTATATCTATTGACGTGAGCTCCCTTTCGTTTTTTTATAAATTTCAGATTTAAGTTCCGAGTTATGAGATTTTTTAATCATTAAAAAAAGGGGGATTTTTCCAATTTTCGGACAATAACTCCAAAATGCTTTCACCAATTTGCAAGAAATTTTGGTGAATTGTTTATATCTATTGACATGAGCTCCCTTTCTATTTTCATAAATTTTAGATTTTACGTTTCTGAGTTATGGGGTTTTATTCATTAAAAAAAGGGGCAGTTTACAGTTTTCGGACAATAACTCCAAAAGGCGTTTAGCAGTTCTCATGAAACTTTGGTGAATTGTTTATATCTATTGATGTAAGCTCCCTTTCGAAATTATATAGATTTTAGATATTACGTTTCCGAGTTATGGTGTTTTATTCATTAAAAAAGGGGGGATTTTCCAGTTTTCGGACTATTTCCTAAAAAATGCTTCAGCAGTTCTCATGAAACTTTGGTGAATTGTTTAAATCTATTGACAAAAGCTCCCTTTCGATTTTCATAAATTTCTGATATGACATTGAGAAGTGATTGAACTTTATTCTTTAAAAATGTGACGGGCGTATCATGCGCTCATGGCACAGCTGTTTATCACATCTGTGTTCCTCAAATCAAATTGTGAAATTAAATAACTCTTTGGGCACAGATAGACCAAAGTACAAATGTAAGCTGTTTTAATATTGATATTACTTCGTTTCTTTTCTGGTTCTTATCTTCATTTTTCTTTTGTTTAATTGTAAGAATTTCTTTGTCATGTGTGTACATGTAATTGACATGATCAAGAAGCATGATATTGATTCTGTGCAACACCTTCATGTACTGTAAATTCAGTGGTTTTTGTGTTGTTTTTATTGCAAAAAATTGCAATGGGACAGGATTAGAAATAGAATAAAAATTCACATTTAGAATTTTGATGGCATAATTTTTTAGTTCCCTACCGACGAAGTCGAAGGGGACTTTAGGTTTGCACTCCGTCCGTCTGTTTGTCTGTCTGTCCATCTGTCAGTCCGGCAAATCAGTTTTCCACACTTTTTTTCTTCTTGCTTGAAGATATTGATTTGATATTTGGTATATTGTTTTATCATGACAAGTTTGAATTTTGTTCCGGTCTGAGGATTTTGTGCAGAGTTTTGGTCCTTGGACTTAGAAAATTCACTCATATAATCAGTTTTTCCCTACTTTTTTTCGTAATGCTTGAAGATATTCATTTATATAGTTTACACCATGAAAAGTTATAGATCAAGTTAGCATATTGCTCCAGTACAATTAATTTTTTAACCGGTAGGGGACTATGTATTGCCATGCCATACTCTCAGAATGCTTGTTATTCATCATTTTCAGAAATTGCAATAACTAATTGTGCATTTTCGTCCATTGTTTAGTAAATATGATGATAAATGCATGCAAAATTATTGAATATATAGTAATTGTGATTTCATAGTAAAAAGTAAAATAACAAAAACTCTGACAATGTCTGAACTCTTAAGGAAAATTCAAAACGGAAAGTCCTTTATCAAATGACAAAATCAAAAGCTCAAACACATCAAACTAATGGAAAACAACTGCCAAATTCCTGACTTGGTACAGGCATTTCATTATGTAGAAAATGGTGGATTAAACCTGGTTTTATAGCTAGCTAAACCTCTCACTTGTATGACAATCGCGTCAAATTCCATTATATTGACAACAATGTGTTAGCAAAACAAACAGGCATAATAAGTAAAAATGTCAAAAATAGGGATACAGCAGTCAACATTGTGTTTAAATCTTAATACAAAAAAAAAACAGCTATTTCAACAAGGAGTAGCACTGAACTTTTTCAAATATGAAACAACTAAGGAGGATTTTGAAGATAAGAGTGATAATTTGTTGAATATGTCTTCAGATTTTAACTATTTTTAATAATTTTCAGATTGTTTAAAGATGGTATAACCTGGAGACGTCTTTGTCTTTTTTTGGATATTGTCAGAACGGTAGCAATAAGATATTTAGTAGTTTATTTACGTAGGAGTATGAATATGCTACTTCCAGATGCAGAAGGGTTTATACGGAGGTTTGAAATAAATAGAATATGGAATACAAGAAATGTAATTTGAAATATTAATTATCCATGTTATCATAAACTTGCTTAAATCTTAGTACTGAAGATGCGGGAATTATATTTTAATTAGTTTTTGGTCAGGTTGCAAGACATTTAAATCTGTCTTTATAGTCTGATGGTCAGATTGAACAAGTGTACTTGTTTTGGGTATTGCACTTTTCCAGTTATTAAATTTTCAAAATGTTTCTGTATACATTGCTTTTAAATTGGATATGTTTAGGAAGTGATCTAGGGGAGGAGGTGCACTTACTATATATCATTTATATTGATGAGCCACTGGAATTGGTCTATATTCCCAGCTTCATGATATGTGATAAGGTCGAGAAATTAAGATAAAACATTTGACAAGGTTGCTGATTAAATCACAGGTATCTGAAACTAATCAGATGTTGATTTGTATTTTACAAATGTGGTTAAAACCACAGTATTTAATGCCTCAGATAATTGTCAAAACTATTTATCTCTCCATGAAATAGGCTTAACATGTCAAAAAATATATGATGGGGATGTATTTTTGTTATTTGAAATATATGAAAAGGGTGGGTACAGGATGTCTCAGCACCTCAACCCTACCACAAAAGGATTTAAATGGCCACCCAGAGGGAGTAATCAACCTGTAAAAAAGAAAAAAATGCATCATCAATTTCATGCATTTGAAGCACTTTTCCAGATTTACCTTCATTAGGAACGCTCAAAGCCTAATATTTGAAAGCCAAGGATGTATAAGAATGGAAACAGTTGAAGAGCTATATGACCAAAACAGACCTAAATCATCACAACCAACAAATGACATTAGAAAAAATACTATTTGTTTTTTTACGCCAAATGTGATGCTGTCCAATATTTTTGGGGAGAACATTGGAGTGGGGTACAGATGGATGTGTATGATAGTTCAGGTTTACTTGTCATTAGGTAATGATTGAAGTTTTTCAACATATTGTGACTTTGGGTGATCGGAAAGGGGAAAACATTCATTTTTTATGACATTATTAAACTGTTTGCATCTAGAAATTAATATTGATAATTCAGCAATTTTCGGAATGAATGATGTAGCGGATATGAAATGCAGAACCCCATCCTCTCAAAAGGATAATAGCATTATATTGTAATGAACTGAAGATTTTTTTTTTAAAATTGGAAAATAGTATAATAATATGGGATAAAATTGTGGCATGAAATGGTTATTGTGGTTTATGGGATTGTAATTCTAAGTGGTTGGTAAGTTATTTTAATTAGAATTGTGAATTTGTGGTTAGAATTGTTCTGAAAGTGATATTGTAAGTTCTTTATACTTTAATAATAATTATTATCAACACATGGTAAAAAATGAAAACAACACATTATAAATTCAATGCGTCCGAAGCGCTTTTCAGGAATGCTCAAAGCCAAATATTTGAAAGCCAAGGATGTATAAGAACCGAAACAGTGAGGACTATTCCATTAAAATGTATGTGGGAGGGTAGGAAGGGAAGTCTAATTATTGAATGAGGGTCATGGGTCTTTTTTCAGTATGCGTCTATTACCATTATGCAAAATTATCTAAAAAATGGTTCTTGGTTGTAGGGATATTTTGAAAGTCCCTTCCTACCCTCCTACATAGATTTTAATGGAATAGCCCTGACAGTGCTCGCACTACTTCAGAATCATAGGGAGAAGTGACTTCTCTTTTTGAAAAAAAAACTGAAAGGGAGAAGTGGTGAGACTCAAAAGACTCCAAGAGTTGACTCAGGTATAGAGATATTTTAGTAACTTGTATCAATATTCAAACACCAAAAAATTATTAATTAATTTGATAAAATGTTTCCTACCAATTCCAGCTTAAACTAAATTTCTTTATGAAGGATTTTAAAAACTTAATTAATATCGTCCATTAATGAATTAATAAATCAAAATCTTGGTGTACTTGCCAACTTGGATATGCTGATTCTAACCGTGTATTTAGATTTTAGATATTGGACCATAATAGGTAAAGTCCAATTTCAAATTTTTCAGTTCTTTGACGACATTCATTTTGTGTCAGAAACCCATGCTATTTCAAATATTTCATCACAATCCAAATTCAGAGCTGTATCAAGCTTGAATGTAGTGTCCATACTTGCCCCAACTGTTCAGGGTTTGACATCTGCAGTCGTATCAAGCTGTGCCCTGCAGAGCATATTATTTAAGAATGGACTTATGGGACGAACTGAAGTATCATTAAAAGATATTCCTTGTAAAACAGAGTAGATTGATTCCACTAAAATTAATTCTGTTACTTATATGTTTTGCTTATATTATAGAGAAATTGGAGAAATAACAGTCCTTCAAAGTATGCATACATAGCTGTCCCTGCTATAGCAATGGCTGGGACTGCATTTTACTTCTGCTGGAAATCATAAACAGGTAAAAACAAAAAGGCACCAAACATTTATCTTTTTTTGGGGGTCAATTAAATTATATAAAGGTTAATTTTATTGTTAGATTATAATCATTGTATACTTATAATCGTAAAAAATATTTGCATTTTTCTTTTTGATAAATATTTTCTTTTGGTATGTTTTTATACGACCGCAAAAAAATTTTTGCGTCGTATAATGCTATGATGTCATCTGTGTCGTCGTCGTCTGAAGACACATTTGGTTTCCGGACAATAACTCAAGTTTAAGTGAATGGATCTCTATGAATTTTTACCAGAAGGTTCAATACCACAAATGGAAGGTTGGGATTGATTTTTTGGGTGATGGTACCAACAGTTTAGGAATAAGGGGCCAAAAACAAGCATTTTTGTAGTTTCAGGACAACCATTTGTGTGTAAGTGTATGGATCTCTCTGAAATTTTACCACAAGGTTCCATTTCACAGTATTGCACAATAGCACAGTATTGTGCAATATCACAGTATTGTGCAATAGCAAGAAATCTTCTATTGCACAATAGCTCAGTATTGTGCAATAGCAAGAAATCATCAACTGCACAGTATTGCGCAATAGCAAGAAAACTTCAATTGCACAGTATTACGCAATAGTAAAAAATCTTCAATTGCACAGTATTGCACAACAACACAGTATTGCACAATAGCAAGAAATCTTCAATTGCACAGTATTGCGCAATAGCAAGAAATCTTCAATTGAAAACAAATACAAATGTTTTAACCAATTTGTTTGATATTAATTAAGTCTTTAACTTTTGGGGGTTCCAGCCTTGTATAATATTTTTGGATATTGGGCCCCATTTTTAAATTGGTCTACATTGAGTTCAAAAGGGTCCAAAATTTAACTTTGTTTGATTTCATCAAAAACTGAATTATTGCGGCTGTATGATTTGCTGAATCTTTGATCTTTGTGCATTTGATTTTTATTTTGGGCCCTGTTTTCAAATAAGTTCATATTAAGGTTTGAAGTGTCCAAATTTTGGACCCTTCAAACCGTAATATGGACTCCAAAATTAAACTTTGTTTGATTTCAACTAAAATTAAATTATTGGTGTTTTTTTATATGCTGAATCTAACTATGTTGTTAAATTTTGGACCATTCTAGGTAAATTTAATGTCCCATTTCAAATTTTTAAGATCATTGACCACATTTATTTTGTGTCAGAAACCTATATTATATCAAAAATTTGATCACAATCCAAATTCAGACAGTATCAAGCTTGAATTTTGTGTCCAAACTTGCCCAAACTATTCATGGTTTGACCTCTGTGGTCGTATCAGGCTGTGCTCAGTGAAGCATTTTAAAAAAAATTCAAGTCAATGATATTTGGCATGCAGTTATATAAGCATTGGCATATCTCATTTCCATGGAGAATATTTGGTCTCGACCCTGCAGTATGGTCTATTGACTGAAACTTTTGCTTAGTTTAGAAATTACATGTATTAGTTTGTGATTAGGTCTGTTCAAGAGGAACCATTAGTGGTAGGTCAATTTTAATTGGTATGCAATTGTATAAGCATTAGCACATCTCATTTCCATGGATAATATTTGGTCCCGCCCCCTCAGTCATGGTCTATTGACTTTGAAACTTTTGCTTAGTTTACATGTATTAGTTTGTGATTAAATCATTTTAAGATGAACTGCTAATGTTCAGTCAATGATATTTGGTATGCAAATTTATTGGCATTTGCAAGTCTTGTTTCCATGGAGATTATATAGCCCACCCCCTCATCATGGTTCATTGACTTTGAAACTTTTACATAGTTTACAAGTTAATGTTTGTGTTTAGGTTTGTTTAAAGGAAACAACTTATGATAAGTCAATGGTATTTGGTATGCAGTTGTATTAGCATTGGCACATCTCATTCCATGGAGATTGTTTAGCCATGTATCTAGCTTCAGTCATGGTTCATCGACTTTGAATATTTGCATTACTTACATGTTAAAGTATTGATATTTTAATTTCAACATTTGCATTACCAAAAGTACAAAAAGGCGAGACATATCTCTGTGTTAACAGTTTATTAAAAAATTTCTCCCAACAAAAGAGAAATGATCGATGACTTACACCTTTATTCTTCCATATTTGTAAGTAAAAAAGTGGGTATTAAGAATTAAGAAAGAGTTTACCCAAAGGTATAGAATTAAGGAAATGCGGTTTGAATGCTAATGAGATAGGTGGTTACTGATAATCCTGGAGGGGAAAATATTAGAGTTTCGTCAGACTACCACTATATCCTTAAGAATCAACAGATTAAGAAAATCACTAAAAGTAAATATAAAATGACTCAAAAGAAGGACATTGTTTTAACATAATGAAAAGTAAAATAGCAAAAAATACCGAACTCTAAGGAAAATTCAGAAAGGAAAGTCCTTTAACACAAGGCAAAATCAAAAGCTCTAACACATCAAACGAATGGAAAACAACTATCATATTCCTGACTAAGTACAGGCATTTCCTTATGTAGAAAATGGTGGATTAAACCTGGTTTTATAGCTAGCTAGCAACCCAAGACTAACAATTAATCAGAAAGATATTCACTTTCTAGTTCTTTATTTTTGGCCCAGGAGGGGAATTTAATTGTCTCATTGGGAGTCATATTTAATCTCCTAGTTTGAATATCATAGATTGATTGAATGATTATTGTTTTCTTTACATCCAGTGGCAAATATTTCTGTGCATATTCCGGACCAGAACAAATAATGCAATTTGTATAGGTTTTGCAAAGTGGGTAGACTGCAATGATTTGCAAGATTTTCGACTGTGACTGGAAAATTCGGTTATTGCAAAGTATTCTTTAACATGCAGAGAATGTGGCAACTCTCCCTAGATGAGGCATCAGATTGATCATTCCCATTCCTCTAAATGTGGTTATGTATTCAAACATTCTGCTTAGCCATAGAGACACGTAAGCAGTAACAAACAGACAAATTAATCTAATACAGAAAGAGTAGGCAATACAAACCTATAGTGATATCAGGTCTATATAAAAATAAGGAGATGAGGTATGATTGCCAATGAGACAACTATCCACCCAAGTTAAAATAAAGTGGATGTAAGCAATTATAGGCAACCATATGGCCTTCAACAATGAGAAAAACCCATACTGTATAGTCGGCTATAAATGGCCCGGACATGAAAAATATCAAACAATTCAATTGTGAAAACTAACGGCCTAATTTATAACAAAACAATTAACGAAACACAAATATGACAGACATGAACCAACTACAACCACTGAATCTACAGGCTCCTGACTGGGGACAGGCAAATAAAGAATGTGGCTGGGTTAAACATGTTTATATGCACTCAACCCTCCCCTAACTTGGGACAGTGGTGTTACAGCACAACATAAGAACAAACTATAAAAATCAGTTGAAAAAGGCTTAACTCATCAGATCGATTTTAAGTCAAGTTCAGGCTCCAGCAACAGGAATGCTTTTCTTTAACAAATCACAATATATTTCTGGTTGGTGTTTACATGTTAGCATGTCATTGTATTTATGTGCTAGTCTTGGTTTATTTGATTGGTGTGATAAAGCCCTTTCATGATTAAGTGATGTATTTCATAAGTTTTTTCAATCAAAATTTATTTAGATGGTCTGTACTTTTCTAATAATTTTCAACCTTTACTTTTCTTTGAAAACTAAATATCTGGTCCTTTTCTAATTTCATTCTTTGTACACATATAGGTCAAAAGTGTTCACCAATATCTGAAATTCCCCTATTATTTCATATAAAAACACATTTTTTGATAAAAATTCTACTGAATATATTTCTTGTTCAAATTGAATGATTTTTTTTTCATTTGTAGTTGCATAGGCTCTTTATGTGTCATGGATTTACATTTTTCAATTAAATATTTTTCTGAATGTTATAATATATATTTCAGGAATCTATTAAACAGCCAAGACACCTTATATGGTTTGTAGTTCTTACTGAATCTAATAATATTTGTATGGAGAATATATATACATGTAGGTAATTGTTGAGAATCACAAATGGACAAATTTGATTTATACAGACCAAAGGATAATATGTCAACCTTGGAAGTAACTGAATAATACATATGGAATGCTATAAAGAAAAAAAGAAAGAAAAAAAAAACTCGCCAAAATAAAATCTGGCAGATTAAATGCTGCATACAAAATTGCTACAAACTTAAGGATTGTAATCAATATCAGAATGCCAAGTATTAATATTGGTCAAAGGTGCATTCAGTCTTCAAAAAAAAATTATAATTTTATTTATATTTTGTATTTTGATTCCTCTAATTTTTTCTCTATTTTCACATTTCCCTACCGATTGTGAAAAAAATTGTTCTCCTCACTAGTGAAATATCTGTTCTTGGCAAATGATTGGTCGAAATTTAATTATGACATCAAATTTTCTTGGTTTCTTCTAAATTTTCTATTGTGACATCATGCCTGATGACGTCACATATAAAGAACACAACTTTCTGCAAATCTGCAAATCTTTGAAAAGGAAGGATAAAAATCATTAGAGAAACAGATTCCACCACTACAACTCTTGTATTACGATATTTCTCCACTCTCAATGTTAAATTTTAATTGTTTTAAAAGCTCGGCCAGCCTTGCACTTTAATATTAAATATTAACTGTCTTGATTGGAGAAATATTGTAACACACTTGTTGCAGTGGTGGATCGATATTTATATAATTTAGATGAAAACATGCTATCATAAATTTGTTATTCAAAACTTGTGTACACAGATTTTAATTTGCTATTTTTAATATCATTCCCTGTATTGAATTTATTTCAAAGGTATTAGTTTACTTGATGTTAGTGATAATTCTTTTTTATTGTTATGCATTGATTACAGTGGCGGATCCAGGGTTTTCAAAAAGGGGGAGTGGCCAACTGCAAAAAAATCAGAAAAAAATGTTAAAATTTTTTTTAGCCACGTTTATCCATCGCATTTTACAATTGGAAGATTGATTTTGGTGGGCAATACATCAAGATTTATTGTACACTGTTATGTTTCACATGTCTAGGCAGCAAAATAACAAACTGTGATAATTAAATTGAAAATATAATTGTAAGTTTTATTATATTTTGATATCATTTTGTACTCAATATATTATTTTTACACTTGTCATATCTTGCAATAATTATAGTTTTACTTAAAAATGGTTTTACCTGTTGTTTTCAGATCATGTTCAGGGTCTACTTTTTATGCCTTACTGGATTATTTTGCTCCCAATATGAATACATGGAGATGTGGGGTAAACATAAACAGCTGACTATGTGGTATGGGCTTTGCTCATTGTTGAAGGCCGTACTGTGACCTATAGTTGTTAATTTCTGTGTCATTTAGTCTCTTGTGAAGAGTTGTCTCATTGGCAATCATATCACATCTTTTTGTCGAGCCTTCGACTTTAGTCGAAAAAGCGAGACATAGCGATCCTACATTCCGTCGGCGTCGGCGGCGGCGGCGTCCACAAATATTCACTCTGTGGTTAAAGTTTTTGAAATTTTAATAACTTTCTTAAACTATCCTTGATTTCTACCAAACTTGGACAGAAGCTTGTTTATGATCATAAGATAGTATCCAGAAGTAAATTTTGTTAAAATAAAATTCCATTTTTTCCGTATTTTACTTATAAATGGACTTAGTTTTTCTGCCGGGAAATATTACATTCACTCTGTGGTTAAAGTTTTTAAAATTTTAATAACTTTCTTAAACTATCCTGGGTTTGTACATAACATGGACAGAAGCTTGTTTATGATCATAAGATAGTATCTAGAAGTAAATTTTGTAAAAAAATAAATCCATTTTTTCCTTATTTTACTTTTAAATGGACTTAGATTTTCTGCCAGGAAGCAACACATTCACTCTGCGGTTAAAGTTTTTAAAATTTTAATAACTTTCTTATACTATTTTGGATTTGTACCAAACTTGGACAGAAGCTTGTTTATGATCAAATGCTAGTATCTAGAAGGAAATTTTGTTTTCTTCCAGTTAACATTACATTCAGTCTGCAGTTAAAAGTTTTTAAACATTTATTAGATTCATAAACTATCCTGGATTTTTACCAAACTTGGACAGAAGCTTCTTACAATCAAAAGATAGTATCAAGAGGAATATTTTTATTGATTGACTTCCTCATTTTTGTTGATCCTGCGATTAACAGAAAAAGTAGGCGAGACACTGGGTTCCGCAGAACCCTTACGAATTTTTTATATATCAATGAGAAAGATACCTAAACACACACACAAAAATCAGAAAATCAACACAGAAGTGTCTTTTAAAATGCATGTTTCCAGATGGATAAACCCAAAATGTGTGTCAAATAAAAAGAATTGTAGTATCTGTGATGTGGGTACAGAGATGTGGGGTATACATCAATAAGCAAGCTAACCAATGACACAATAGTCATTAGACATCTATTTTCATATTGGTTCATTGTTTAAGGGGGAAGGACAGGGGACAAATTAAAAAAACAGCTGTTAATAGATTCAAATATTTATACAATTATGAATTGGCATTCACAATTCAGTGAAATACACTAATTCATATATATTCATAACTCTGTAATCACTTTTTTGATGCCTCGGCCACTCAGTGTCTGTTTCATTATGCCTACTGATATTGAGCTGGGTGCATAATGGTGGGTGACAGATAAAATTTGAAACCCCCTTCCTCCTCGAACATAGACACATGAATAGATTTTCTGTGGTCTGTGTTTATTATAACAAGATAACCTAATTAATGGTTACATACATTTACTGTATGTCATATTGCTAGCTTAATATACCAAAACTGCTTTCACTTTTTAATTCTGTAGTTGTTCGTCATATTCCACTGATATGTTTGCTCTTCTGGCCGAAACAGCAGTGTGTTTTGCTGTCATTATTTATTGTACATTCTATTGGCATCTGTTGGTATTTAAAAAAAGTATCTCTCTGCTTTGGACTAAATTTGACAAGAAACTTTACTGTTACAATTTTCAACCTATGGCTATTCATTCAATGTTCCAACATACTGACCAACATGACTTCTGTATATATATATATATGTTCCCTTGGATGTGCATCTAAATCAGGGGATCCAATATGGCAACAATAACTATAAATTTACATTGTCAGAAAATTTATAATCAGATGAAATAAATGATCTAACTAATTGGATGATGATGAATTTGTGTTTAATGACCAGTTGCAAATATTACATGCATATCAGGACAAGAACATGTTAGGGAGCTACCATATGATTTTTATGGGGGGGGGGGGGGGGGGTGGGGGGGGATGAAATTTGAAAAAAGGGCAGGACAGGAGACAGGAGTTTTGAGTAAAAAAAAAAGGCAGGATGAGCAACTTGGCAAGAAAAAAAGGCAGGACGACAATTTATGTAAAAAAAGTCAGGATAAACTAATAAAAAAAGGCAGGACTGAATTGAGTGAAAAGTAAAAAGGCAGGACAGAGATTACAACTAAAAAAAATGCAGGACACAATTTTTCATCCTAGCCCCCCCCCCCCCTAAAAATCAAATAGCTGCTCCCTTAACCAATTTGAACAATTTTCTGGGTATTTTCCTTAGATGTTTCCAGATTAGAATTTTACTCATGCTAGATAGTTTCTTAAAAATCTAGGACAGTTGCCTCTGCCTAACAAAGTTGTACTGCATGATAAAAGAACTCCTCCAAAGGTATTGAGCCCACAATTTATCTGTAGAATTATATGCGACATTGGAATCCTATTATCCAACACTGAGGCTGTTACTATTAATTACCACATATCAACAGTTTAAGGGCAATATGACAATTAGAAATGAAATCTTTGGTCACATACAGCTTTAATTTTTTGCCTCTTCTCTCCGTTTATACAGTATATACAGTTGATACCATATTCCAGGGCTTAATTTGTATTTCCTATCATGATTTCCTTGAAAGAGGGTTGCTGCCCACAAGGAAGCTTTTAAAGTAAGGAGTTCCAAGTGATGAAGTTGAAATCATCCATTCGTAAATATTATGGACGCCATCACGAGTTGGTTGACCGTTATGGGATATCCGTCTCACAGATGACAACAGACATGTTCCAATTGTCTACAAATACATTGCCCTCTCCTCCCCGATTGTGACCTACTGAAGTAGTTGTAATAACATAAGCAACACGACGGGTGCCACATGTGGAGCAGGATCTGCAGTTACCCTTCCGAAGCACCCGATATCACTTCCAGTTTTTGGTGAGGGTTTGTGTTGCTCAGACTTTGGTTTTTCTATGTTGCTTTGTGTACTTTTGTTTGTCTTTTACTTTTTTAGCCATGGCGTTGTCAGTTTATTTTCGACTTATGAGTTTGAATACCACTTTGGTATCCTTCACCTCTCTTTTATAACTGCTTTTTACATCGTGATTAGAGAAAATAACTTTCAATCAGTTAAAACATCAAAAGGCTTTGAATACCTAATAACATTCTGAGAAGAAATTTTAAATTGTAAAATAAACAAATAATTAGTTGCCTTTGTCCACGCTTGTAATGTTTGTTTCCATAACTGCATTTTTTATGAAACGAGATAGCTGGTTTTGTGCTCAACCCCCAAATCGGAGGGCCAGTGGATTTGGTATTCAGGTTCCAGATCTTTAGATCAGTTGCCAACCAAGGCTTACGAGTTATGATCTGTCCAGTTTTGTTCCAGTTGTCCCTCTAAGATAGATAGCTGGCCTTGCTGGGGTAATGACTCATATCTAGCCAAACTATTTACTCATAGCTGGAGCAAGGTTAATGAATGTTAGGGTAGTTCACACATAGATTGGCATACACACTGCATCTCTAGGGCCTTTGCTGCTCCTAGATAAGTAATGGAAGTTTTAATACACTAACCTCTAATGACCAAGCGAGGATTTTGACAATTCCAAATATTTTATGTTACCGTCTATCTTTTGTTTTATTATTATTCAAAAAGTAATTCACAAATTTACGTAATATCTGAAATCTTTTTTTCATTTTTGAAACAGCGATCCACGAATTTACGTATCCCACGGAATGTCTTTTTTTCTCTATCCACGAAAATTGATACCCACGAAGATAAATGAATCAACAGTATTATAAGTTTATCAGTAAGCGACCAAGATTGCACATCAATAATCTCTAAAACATATGTTCAATTCTTATTGTTCTAAACCCAAACATTTGGTATTTTTTTCATTCAATATCATCTTTATTAATACCCCTTGATTCCATTCATGTGCATCGCGCATGAATACATCACAGCAAAATCAACGGTAACGAAATGAGTTATTTAAGGAATATATATATATTCTAACGGACCTATCACATCCAAGTAATTGTAGGTATGCTAATCATATAAAAACTACACAAAAGATCAGCATAATTTCAATTTTGAATACATTCTGAGTGTTTTTAATTGCCTTCATACTTTAAAAATTTTGTGTAATTACATTATTTTATAAACCTGTAGAGATATAGAAATAATAGTTTGTATTTGTTGATAACAACCTGCTGGTTTGGGAAAATGCATAAGGTCGTCGGACTATCCTAGCGGTAAAGTAAAATATTGTTTCATCCTAAATCTGCATAATAATTACAAATGTGAATCATATGTGATTGATACAATAATATTGAATATTTTGTTTATTTTATAATCTAAGGTTATTATTGTCTGTTATCCGGCTTTGAGCATTCATTAGATAGTAACAGACGCGGTGCCCTTGACTTGGTAGTCCATGAAAACTTGTTCCATAAAGTTTTGGATGAAAAAAATCGCTGGTTTCATTGTACAAGCGGTTCCCATGTCCATTGATGTTATGATTGTAAGAAATTTTAATGTTCAATGAGTAGTATTTGTTCTACTCGCCATCAATGTTGTAATAATAACAACCACAACAGAATCTTACTCCGTAGGAAAAAAACCTAAACAATTTCTACTCATTTGTTTATGTATATTAATAGTTAGATAATATATGGGGTAAATATTTCATTCATGCAGTCAAAACCTTTATGGAGTGGCTTTGATAGTATATTCCAGACTTTATCGCTACTATTGAGATATTAATCATAGTGCACTGAGTATAAAACTCTATTCAATAAATCCATAAACTATCACGAAATTTACCAATGTAATACATACTTTGATATTAAAGTTACAAAATGATCTGTATATATAAATTGTGCATGTCGCATGAGTTTATCT